ATTGATTATTAGTAAGTTATACCTTAGTCCTTAAGCGTATTAAAAATATTTATTATAATATTAACACAATTTATAAAATATCTTGTTGAAATCTTACAGTCAAAGTCAACAATATGGATTTATGTAACATAACAAGTTGATATTCATTAAAACAAATTTGTTAATTTGCATAAATTATATTGAGAAATTAAAAACTGGTAAATAAATGAATTCAACACAAATTTGAATATTTCCTTAACTATTTTTTTTTTTTTTTTTTAATGAATAATAAATTAACAACAAAAAAGGTGATAAAATACAAATAAAAAAATAATAATACTAAAAGCCAAAATGAATACAAAATAACAGTGTTAGGCCAGTTGAAATTACTTTATATAATATTTGTATAAAAATATTTATATTTTATTAGTAAATTATATTAAATTTTTTTTACAGCCGTTTATGAACACTTTGAGCTTATAAGCAAAAATCTTACATTTTATTACAACCCTAAAAGAATTAGCTCACTCAGTATTATGGTTAAATTGATAAATAGGATTTCATGAAATTTTGTACAAAATAAAAATAATAATAATAAATAACTTCCACCGAGGACAACCAATAAAAATTATTGTGGTTCAGCCACTAACATCAACTGCTTTATTATATTAGACAAGTATGATGATGTCATGATTATCTCGTTTTTTATTCAAACAATTATTATTAATAATGGTAACATAAATATTTACATTTATTTGTATGATAAGGAACAGCATCACAGAAAAACACTTTGCTAAGCATTTTAATAAAAAAATAATATATAATTTGTTAATAGGTCTTGTAAAATAAAAATGTTTTAAAGTACACATGATAATATACAACTGCATGTATATTTGTTTCAATGAGCTTAGCAAAATGTTTTATCTTTTGGTGTTTCACAAATTCTGTCAATAATAATAGTATCCATTTAAATTTGTCTGTATTAAAATACTGGACTATTCAACAACAGCGATTAGATAACCTATCTGACTTCCTATCAATATTAATCTTTTCGGGTACATCAGTAGGTTCACGTCCAGGCGTCTTGTTTAATATTGATAATGTGAGGTCAGTAAATGCTTTTTCGATGTTTATATTTGCTTTTGCAGAAGTTTCCAAAAATGATATGTTATGTTCACGAGCAATACCTTCACCTCGTGATTTACTAACAACACGTTTATCATCCATATCACATTTGTTCCCTAAAATCATTTTTTCTACATCTTCGTTAGCATGCTGAAAAGAAAATACAAATTAGAATAATTAAAACAATTAATATTGCGTTAATCATAACTTTAATAATTAAATAGTATTGGACATTGAGTAAACAGATATTGAATATTTGCTTAAACTCAAAAGAAAAAATTCCCAATAGTTTTCAAAAGTGTAGAGAAAATCAAAGCCATTTTTCAACAAATTCAATTTTAGGTGTTTGATAGAATTTTATTTTATTAATGCAATTTTTTTTTAAATATTTTGACTTGTTCATAAATATTTATATTTTTTTTAGTTTCTATAAATACCAATAAGAATTTTCTATTTATATCTAAGACTTTAAAATTAAATACAATATTTGTAATACATTTTGTAAATTATTAAAGACAAATAGGAGCAATTTTTTTTTAAGCATTTCAAATTTGAGAACATTTATCAAAATCTTGAATAGGAAATTATTTTGTACTTAAAAATGTATAAAATGTTCAATTTTTATAGCTGAGGTTAGAAAATTTAAAACAAAAACTATCAGAAATAGTTCATATTTAGAGTTGAAATTTGAATGAAATCTGATATTAAATCGAAGAATAATTATTTTAGTTATTTTGTTAGGTTAAGTTATTATTCGTTGGTAAACTTGAAAGTGATTATTATATTGTTTCCACACAATCAYATTTTTAATTGCAATTTTTTGGTACAAATTAATTGAACCGACTGTATTATTAATATCTTATAGTAAAGTAAATTACTTTTATAAAAAAAATATCATTTAATATATGTAGGAATATTGAGCTGTCAGAATGTCTTTGTTCGGTATACAATGATTTTATATCATAGAGTTTAAATTTAGCCCATTCATTGAAGCGCCCATATAGACACTCTACTATTTTACAATAGATCGGTACTCATTTATCTGCTATTTTAATATTCATTGATTATCATACTGATTTTTTGAACACCAGCCAACAATATCAAAAATGTATACAGAATATGAATGTTAAAATAAACATAACCTAAACATCAAAAACCTTTGATTTTTATTTGAAATAAATAATAATTTCAAATTAATACCATCAACTTAGTTAATTAAATTTAATAATGAATAATATTCATAATAAATGTACACATACCTCATTAATATTCCGTAGCCACTTCACTATATTTTCAAAACTTTTTTCATTTGTGATATCATATACTAACATAATTCCCATAGCTCCTCTATAGTATGATGTAGTTATGGTATGGAACCGCTCCTGTCCTGCTGTATCCCTACAATTTGAAATGTATTACATATTAATTTAAATAATTTAGGGTTTTCTTAAATGATAATAAAACAATTAAAATCAAGCTTTACTTTGGAAATTATTTGAAACTGGTTATGCTATTCTATCTATAGATATCATAATTATATTTTTAATAAAGACGTCAATATTATTAAAATAATAATAACACAAAAACTTGTTTACTATATTAATAGTGACCGTCTTAGTAAAATAAATATTTATTGCATAATAAATTCACACAAAAGAAAAAGCATAACAACTTAAATGTAAACGACATTTAATATTTAAATTCTATTCTTACCAAATTTGAAGTTTTATTTTTTTTCCTTGAAGCTCCACTGTTTTGATTTTGAAATCAATACCTGAAAATAAATTGTTTCAATTAATAATCAAAACAGAGATGGGTAAATAAAAATACCAATACATTTTTTGTATTAAAACTATAGGGATTAATGTTGTTTGCTTAAGATAAATGGATGTTTTTGCATGTTTCCAATAAGTAAAAGAGCATTATAGTTAAAATATTTTATAATCACTTCAAAATGTAGGTACCAGTTTTAATATTTAAACAAAACTTTGCAAAATAAAAAATAAATTTAAAATTGGGTTAATTTCTACATTGGTTTATTATAGGTATTTGCCTCTCACACTTGTAGATTAGTCATTAAATGTTTCTAATAAGCAATAMATTTTGGTATTTTATAACTAACCAACTATTATTATTAATATAGGTACATAATTACAATTCTGAATTCACTATTAGAAAAAATAGGTGGATAGGTAAGCTATATTTGGATAAAGTATTCGTATTTAACTGTAGATTGTATAGAGTTTAGTTGATAAGATATTGAAGAATTTCTTGGAATTATTTATTTATTTTTTTACTTATCATGAATAAATTGGTAYATTTCTTTAAGTGCTTTATTTCGGTACAGTTATTTATGCACCGGATATTAGGGACACAATTGAATAAAAATTAGAGATAATTATATGCGGTATCTGAATGAGAGGGCAATGAACGTGCTACAATCCTTTAACAGTAGACTGAATATGTAACATGAGATATGGTAGAAAATAAATTGTTGAACTATTGTAATATCTGTAAAAATAGTTTTTTTGGTACCTAGCTTTAAACTGCTAAGATTTTTTTTTTTTTTATCATTTATTTAAATATACACAATCTGTAAATGTTGTTTTAAAATAAGTGCGAACTGCTATGATTAACATTAAAATATGGTTTAAAGCGGAGTTTAAAGGTTAAGAGTTACATAATTACAAATATTCTTTATATTCAAATACAATAGGCACTTTTTTAATTTCTCCAAATTTTCAAATCATTTATGTTCTAATATGTTTTAACTATAATATTAGGCACTATATTCATGTGATCAACAAAAATTAGTTTTTATGTGGAGTACCTACTATTAACATTAATATTTTTAAATTTATTTTGATAAGTACCAATTTAATTTTAATGTTTAGTACACCATAGTATTACTGATATTAAAAATAAAGTAATTCATTTAATTATTCATAATTAATATTTTGTGATATCTGTTCATGTTAAAGAATAATGTTGGTAGCTTAGTGCTATTGTGTGTCAGATTCTGACAATATAGTAATTATTACATTAGTTTTATTGATAGTATTTTCTAATAAAAAATTGATTAACATTCAATTAAATATGACTAGTATAAAATAATTTTGATATTTTTATCCTAACAGACTTGTTTAATTTCTGATATACCTACCTATGTGATGCTCTCTTCCTTTGACTAATCTAAGCTGTAATTATGAGTAATGGTCCAAATAAATAATATGAAAATATCAATCAATTCTCATTAYATCCCACCTACCCACTAGAATATATTCAAAATTTAAACAATCACTAACTAGATTGTATTTTAATAATAGCAGATGATTTCAAAGAGCTCAATAAGCTCGGTATATTCAACCACCCAAATTCAAATATGTGATGTAGGTATCTATACTAAGGCAGCAGTTCCTAATTTTTTTTTGGCTTGGGGTGCCTTTTTTGACATAAGGGGTTTACACAGTGTCTCTTTTTAATAAAAAATAAAAATACCTAGAATATGGAAATATTTATTTAATTATAGTTGTCTTTTATTCTAGGCTTCGTTCAGAAGATGTTTCCTAAATGGCCTAAATACTTTTAAAATTGTATAAGTAGCCATATCGGTTAGAATACAAACAATTTTTGTTTGTGTTAATTTTTAATCATTTATATAAATTACTATTTCTATCTTCATGAAAATAGTTTTGATATTACAATTTAAAAATTAGGTCAAATTGATATATGTAGACCTATTTTTAAAATCTCAACASATTCAAAGTAAAAACCCAGGTAAAAACTAATAGTCATCAATATCATGATAATTTATTTAATATTATATGAAAATAAACAGAATCTMTCTATGAGTCATCAAAGCAACACAGATTTAGATGATGCTGGTCTAGGTAAACAAATCTCCAACTTATTTAGAACTCATAGAAGACAATAAAGCATTGGTTACTATTCTTTAAGTTGATGATCCTAACTACATGGTTTTTGTTTTGTGCTTTGGTAGACTCATACAAGAAAATGGGTCCAATATATGGAATCATTGTTTTTTTTTATTAAAAAGTTCTGTTGAAATTTTGAACTAACCTAATATAAACTTTGACATTACTATTATTTATTCGATACAAAAAAGATCAACAAACGCTTAAGACAATTATCTATAGTTAGGTAACAATATGTCAGTATACAAGTCAATAGTCAACTTGAAACAGGATTTTCTCCTAACCAGAAGCAAAGTAAATTTGCATTTTATTTTATTTTGTTATAGATATAAATTAATTAAGGAAGAAACATCTTCACATGTTGTATATATCTTAAATAAGTAGGTAAAACATAGCAATTTTATATTCAGCAGAATCATTTTGCTTTTACATTTAATATTAAAGTAAACTCTCCTATCAAAAAACTTAAAAATAGGTAAGTATATTATATCAAGGGCAACTTGTAGGCTCTTATTGATATTTTAATTTTAAAGTAAATAATACATATTATGACCTTGCATATAACTATGTAAAATATTAGAATTTTAAATTGCTCATAACAAATTTAACATTTCACATAGAAACCAACTAAAAAAAATATGATCAAAATAGTCTGTTAAAAAACATTTTTACTCTAAGTAATTTATGTAAGCAATCTAATTTTATTTTTTAGTATAGCATCATTATTCTAATTATTAATCATATAACATATTCATTGTTTATTCTTTAGTATATCAGTATATCATATACTTTTAGGTACCTACATTAATAAATAATATTAGTTCCGATTAGTTCTTAGGTAATGTATCATATTTTTAGGTATGATAATGTAATAATGCTTACTAACAAAAAATTKAAATAAATATTAATTGACACATTTAGATTCTAAACTGGAATTTTACTGATTTTTTTGATGTCAAATTAAAACAAAAAGCACAGTTATATCTTGGACTAGTAAAGTATTTAAAATGATGAATATCTTTAACATAATATGAGAGTAATTAACCTAAGTCATTATTTTGTTACATTTTGATAGGAAATAAATAATTTTAGTAGATGTCTCTATGATTGTAGGTAGGTATATTATTATAATAGGAAATTGTTGACTATGCACTGTTGGCGATTCTTAGTAGATTTTTTTTAGGTAAGCAGGTAGGTACCGATTTTTTATCTACCTAGATTAATTAGTTGACTAAAAACTGTAGGCCTAACCTTAATTAATGTTTTGATATTATGATAGGTCATTGGACTTTAATGAAATGAAATAAATATTTTTATTTATTCTATTAGGATGCTCGATGCATGCTCATGAATATTATATTAGTACACCTACTATAGGTGATAAATATAGCTATAATATTAATACACATACATGAATAAGAACTATAGAAATACTTAAATAACAATGTATTAAATTTCTTTAAGATTTTATTCTTTGGTTACCTACTTATCAAACTTGATATCTTTGTAATWTGCAGGATAAAATATGATATGGTACCTATGTTCAAATAGAGTAGGTAATATTAGTAAATTCTTCATTACATAATGAGGACATTAAATGTTTTGTATTTGTTTGATTAAAATTTAAAATCCTTAAAGATAGTTGAAAATAATTATTTTCATCTCATTGCATACAATGCTGTTAGAGTAGTACAATGAGTAGTTAGTAGTTAATACACATGCAGTTACTACAATTTAAATTAAGTTTACACACATAAACAACAACCCATTAAGTAGGTAGGTAAATAATTTTACCATTTCTCCTGATTAAAAGATGATTAGGAATGCTAATTTAAAAAACTGAATTTTAATGTTTCGCCTATTTAAWACTAAACAAGGCAATCAGTGTAATAGCTAAATGATAGGAATTTTCAAATAAAAATTGTTGAATAGTAATCAAAATTAATCATTGTCATCAATATTTTCAAGAGACTTAACACCAATCACACCAAACTACAACTTTCTTTATRTTAGAACTGTACCTAGRCAAACCTAGATATATCTAATCATTTATAGCTTTATTATTCAAATCTATTATAGTATGAGTATTTAAACAGTTTACTAGTGTTTTCTTTGAATTTTGCCGAGTTCATAAATATTAATTAATGACTAAAAAAAATTCTTTTAACTCCTTACATAATTGTTATCGCATAAATTAACGCAAATGACCTTAATTAAACAAATATGATTTATAAAACATGACTGATAGGCATAGATAACTGCTTTACATTGCAATCAACATAATATTATCTATCTATTAACTGCAAGGTATGYAAAATTGTTACCTAAGGCTCATGCAGGCGTATAAATTTTTAGTTTTGATTACAAAGATACCTCTATCTATTTTTCATTTTACATTATTAATAAATAATAATCATTGCACATAGAAACAAAATTAATATAAGCTAGGACCATCAATTAAATTTGAATTAATTTCAACTTTATCAAACAATCAGAGAAAACACTTGTAAAACACCAATTAGCAATTAATAATAATAGTTTAAACATATTATCATTCACCAAAACAAGCCCATAACTTTTATCCTCAGGCTCACATAGACTTTATGCATCAGATCTGAAGGTCGTCATGGTCTCCAGTGTGTCTTGTCTACAATACAGTGCTTATGTACAACGTCCTACCAACTACCAAACATTACGTGTCAGAACAATGAATCTAATTATCAGAGGGGATTAGGGAAACCGAAAAAACACGGGGACTGACTAGACAAACAAATTAATTTCAACTCTGACGACATCGAAATCGCCCACTCACCAATGGTCGAGATGAACGTCGTGGTGAACGCGTCGTCTGAGAACCTGAACAGAATGCATGTCTTGCCCACGCCCGAATCGCCGATCAGCAACAATTTGAACAGCAGATCGTACGTCTTTTTGGCCATTACGAAGTGCCGGATATCGTCTTCTTCAGGAAAATTCTTAAGTAAGGCTGGTGGTAGGCGGAAGGAATAGATCGGAAAAGGCGCGYGTTAAGCGGGCCYGTGAGTGGGAATTTGCGTATCGGGACGACGGTTCCAAACCGATCAACGATGTCGCTGGTCGACGGGCGATCGTAATTATAGTTATTTTTTTCTCGACGGTCTCGCGGCGTATTCGACAGACGGGAGCGACGGAAATGACGTCGACACGAGGTGAAAACGTGTCACGGGGACTAATGGTACTGATTAACTGCGTCTAACATTCAAGTCTCTAATGCGACGCAAACTGTGAACCGCGATTAACAAATAATATAATAAATAATAATATGATTTTGTTCTATAAAAAAACGTTATCTCGGCCGTCGTCGTCATGGGTCGGTCACTCGGTCGGTTATTGTGTCACGGCTCAGCTCTCCCTCCACACAGAGATTAAGACAGTGTGGCGTCTGCACATTCTATTGCGAAGGCGGTAACACTGTATCTCCGGGACGCCGCTGTTTTCATTTTTCAAAAATCTAACCGTCYGGACGAAACATAGACACACTATAAACAGGCACTGATTTTATAAAATTAGGGCCAAGTGCACAATTTTTTTGGAGGCCCCTTACCCCGTACACCCACCACCACAAGCCAAAACTAGTATTTTATTAAAGAATCAATCCATAGACCCCGATAGCTTTTTTTTGWTCTTATTTTCCTTATTTAARTTTTCGTTTAGCCGCCCCGCTTAAATACAGYCGCGACATATCAGTTATTGCCTATTAAACTTTCAAAACAATTATATTTAAAAGTCTAAATAATATTCATGAAAATTWAAAAAAATAAGTTTCGAATATTATAAATTATCACATCAATGCTCAYCTATTCAAATACACGTGTAACTCGTGTGAGTGACAAGCGTACAAATTTATAAACCACGATACTGACAATTATTATACAATTATGAAAATATGAAATAACGGYCAAAGCATAATATTCATAATAATAAAATAACAAGATAATAATATATTGTCATAAAATAAATAATATATGGTAAAGCGATCAGTGACGTGCGGGCACAACGCTAACATGATGTACGACAACATTGGACAACAATAACTAAATTAGTTTATTTATAATTATAACATTTAATTAATGTTTTTCGCTATTCATTTCCTTGG